TTCCGGTAGAGCCAAGTCAAGCCAATAACAACAGCAACAACATCAGCCACTTAGCCACCAAAGAGGAAAACCGCCAACCTTTAGAGGAGAATGCAGTTTATATGCTTGAGCGACTTTGGTGCTCATCTCCGCTGTTTGTGGAAAAGAAGCTAACTAACGACGCTCGGCGTCTTTGACAAGACAGTGTTCAACACATTTTCGCTCTGAGCCAAAATGTAACATTGCTAGACAAAAAACACAAAATGAAAACAAAACCCAGGCACTTTATTAAAAAAGAGTTTTAAAAATTAAGACCATCACACACACCTACACACTTTCTTTTCTATCTTCGCCTGTCGTTTACTGTCGTCATGTCCTTTACTAACTAAAGGTACACCTTTATCCTTCTTTTTCAATTTTGCCCCTCTTTTTGTGCAGTGATTAAGTAATGCAATGTCTCAACTGCCGTGCACACACACTTCTATACGGAGGGGGTGGCAAGCAACAGGTGTTGTCAAAAGTCATTGTGTTTACCATGCTTTTCATCATCTTCATCATCAAGTTATGACGATGTTGTTTATCATCGACCTCAAAAGAGTGTGCTAAATTGTGGGGAATACGTATAAATCTCGGTAAATTAAACACAAATCATAATGGACCAGAAAAAAGAAGGTAACAACCACACATACAAAGACACCAGAAACTTTCACTTTGTATTTGGGGGGCAATGGAAGGGTGTCGTGTGTGCAGACAGTAAGAGAGATATGTTGTCATTTGATTAAGGAATTCCGTAATTTGGGAATTTCGAAAGTGGAGAAAGGGATTCACTTTGGATGTGAGGCTTTTATGAAATGTAAATAAGAAAACTTAAAAAAATAACAATTCGAGAGAGAAATTTTGACTGTTCTTTTCTGAGAGTGGGAACAATTGTCGAAACATTTTTTTCTTGCAATCATTTGCAACTCTTCTTTCCTTTTTGAGTATTCCTTGATTTGTTTCTCTGCAAGTAATTTTTAAGCATTTTTATTTTGAAATCGACAATCCCGATTGTTTTTTTTTTTTTTTTTGGAGAATAAAAATTGGCAAACTCTTCCCGTTTTTGGCTCATTTACTTTTCACCATAACCTATCGCCTATCGCAATTATAATTTTAGACCCAATAAAGTAATATATACTTTGATCACCGTAAAATTCTAAGACGATTTAGCCCTGTCCGTCCGTCCCTCTATCCGTCTGTTGTAATCACGCTAGAGTCAAAACGAATAAACATAGAAAGCTAAAATTTTCACCGATCTGTCGTTTGTCTGTAGACAGGTCAAGTTCGAAGATGGGCTATATCGATATCGTATAGCCCCCATATTCGGTATTTTGATGATTTTAACCACATTTTCCAATGAAATTTTCTGAAATTTTACACAAGGAGTTCTTCGTTACTACTTTACGCCCCATATAACTGTAACTCCCGATATTCAGTATTTTGACGATTTTAGCCACATTTCTCAATGGAATTGTCTGAAATTCTACACAAGGAGTTCTCTGTGAGTACTTTACCCCCTAAAAGAGAATTTTCCATATAGTTCCACGATATCGTATAGCTCCCATAAAAATGGTGCCCCAACGATTTTGGGTATTTTGATGATTTTGGCCACATTTTTCAATGGAATTGGCTTAAAGTCTACACAAGGAGTTCCTTCTGAGTACTTAACACCCTCGAAGATAAATTTCTATATAGGTCTACGTATTAGTATAGCACCCATATAACGCTACCCCGAGATATTCGGTATTTCCAGGGTTTTCGCTTTATTTGGTATTTTGATGATATAATAATGTCGCTATTCACCGGGATTGCGTCAAATTTCATATTTGAAGTTCGGAATCGTTACTACAGCCTATGACAAAAAATTAATTTAGTTGTTCCACGTCTTCGTATAGACCCTTTTTTACTTGCTATCTATGCATTGAGAATCAACGCCCAGACGAAACGACTGAAGTTAGAATCTTGAAATTTCTTGGTACGCAGGCGTGTGATAAGGCTGGGTTTTTGAAAATTCCTACTAAAAGGATACCAAATGTACTAAAAATTAAGTACTTTTTTTTTGGACAAATAAAATGAGCTAGAATTCTAAAATTTTGAAAAGTCATTGATGTAGTGCAAGCTGGAAAGTAATTTTTATATATGAAGGAGGTTTTGGTAATGTGTACTAAATGTGCGATTGGTACTAAATTTAGAACAGTTTGGTTTAGGGAGAACGGATGAAGCTGAAATTTTGAAATGTTGTATTAGTGTCCCTGTTTGTAGTGGGTTTGTGATTAAGAGGTGGTATTGAAAATGTGTACTTCAAGTGCATGAAAGGTACTAAATAGTACTATAGCTGGTACAATTTGGTATTGGGTGAACAGGTAACTGTTCATCTGCAGCCTAGACACTTGGAGTTGGTTTCGGAAATGTGTACTATAATTGTACGAAATTTACTAAATGGTAATAAATTTGGTCGGGGTTAAAGAGATTGAGATAAAATTCTGAAATGTGATATTATGAACACGGGTAGATCTGATGTTCTGGAGGCAAAGTACTAAATGGTGCTAAATTTGGTATTGGGTGAAGGGATTGAACTGTAATCCTGAGATTTGATATAGATGTAACAGATATTAGGGTCACTGTTCATGTGCAGCCTGGTCTTTTGGAGTTGATTTCGGAAATGTGTACTATAATTGTACGAAATGTACTAGATGGTACTAAATTTGGTCTGGCTTGAAGAGATAGAGATGAAATTCTGAAATTTGATAATAAGAACGATGTATCTGAGGTTGAAATATTTTTGTACGAAAAGTACTAAATGGTACAAAATTTGTTATTGGGTGAATGGATAGAACAATAATCCTGAAATTTGATATTGGTGTCTATGGTTAAGATATGAAGTTGATTTTGATTTTGAGGTCACTGTTGGTTTCTAGGGTTTACAATGCAAGCAAATGCTCTTTTGTGTTATTCAAAATTGTTAAGTCACTTCGTTTGAAGGTAATGTCAAGGGAATAAGAAAGTATTTTTTTTTTTTTTTTTTTTTTTTGGGTTACACTGATTCAATTTGGAAATTTAGAATAGATATTCATAAAGATCCAGGGAATTTCAAAACAATATACGTTTTGCACAGAACACAAGATATCCATACATTCCGAAGGAGGATATTTTCATTTTTAATTCAGAAAGTTGAATGTTATCATATATTAGCATGAGATTACCTCATATAATTTTGCATTTTTAAAATATATTTAGTAGTAAAGTCTTTTCGCCTTTTCTCAAAACATATTACATATATGTCCCCTAAAATGGTCAATTCAATTCAAATTTTTATGTTTGCTTTGTCCTTTTCGTTTCTCATAATGTTGGCACAAGGACTCTATCATTACTTAATCAAGCAGATAACACAATTTAGGCAACAAATTGCATACCTTTACCAAAAACTTTCTTTCCATGTCTAACAAGTGAATTTTCTAAATTTACATTTAATAAAATCACAAAACAATTTCCCTCAAAATTAAATAAATTTCGAATATGAAATTGCCAACACAAACTAAATCGTCCATCTGGGGAATATTAGCATGCAGGAATAGTTGACAACTGAAAATGTACTTCATCGTTGTGATTTTTTTTTATTGACAAGCATGAAAGTGCCTCTCACATGCTTGGATGTTGGTGTAGCCCAAACTGAAAACCAAGCAAAGTAATAAAATTCTAATCTTTGAGAGTACGTGGACATAAACAATTATTCCTAATCATCAGCCTTTTTTTTTTTTTTTGGACACCGAGTCACAAAAAACAGAATCAACTTTGGTGATTGAGAATAAATTTATTATCAGAGAAATACGTACATAATAAGTACGTGGGCAGTCAGCCTAAATGCATGATAAGCAGGAATTTGCCGCTCTAATAATATACCAGCAGCAGGGTATCGTTTCGATTTCGTTTCGTTATCATTTGCCGGGTTTAGAAATTTGTGGGTTATCAGGTTGCGTTGGGGGGAAAATATGCATATCATGTTGCCGGCTGGCTGACTAGCAAACACATGGAGTACCCTTATTGTTTTCACACCAAGGGCTTTAAAAAATGACATCTCAATTAAATTTATTTTCTATGTTTAGGAAAAAATAGAAAAAAAAAACATATCTTCATAAATTTTAAAGGCGACTTTTTAATGGGTGATAAATTTTGTTTTGTGATAAGGATTTTCAACGGAGGGGGAGAAAGTTTCAAATTTAATTATTTAAAAATGCTTTGAATTAGAAAACGAATGAAGTGATAATATTGAAGTCACTTTTATGCTATATTTTAAACCCAGGAAGCCGTCAATAATGCAGTTCATATCAAGTAGCTGATGAAAAATCCGGAACATATTTGTGTATGTCGATAACGGAAAACACCATTCCAAATGTATTTTTCAAAATTTTGATTTAAAACAAGAATCTAGAAATTTTAAGCCGGATCAATTTTCGTGTAAAAATATAGAAACAGACCCTTAATTTAGAAAGGTTTCCCTTGGCTCTCCCAGAGTATTGATTCCTCTCTCTCTCAATTCAAAAAAGGCAAAATTCTCTTCTTTGAAAAAAAAAATGTCCCGACCAGGCCATCATCATCATAACAATAAAAGCAAGCCCCCCTTTAATTTGTGACCAACAATAGAGTGGTTATTGTTATTGTTGCTGCGTGGTGGCCATTGAAAAACCAAAGATTTTATCAATGATTTTTGCAGCTAATTTACGACAATGTTTATACAAAACGTGTTGAAACATTGTCGCTTATATTCCCTGTAAACTGGGAACAATACCAGAGCATTGCTGCACATTATCATGGAGACAGGAGAGTTTGGTAAAGGTCCTTCACACACACGCACACGCCAAAAAAAGGACATAAATTAAAATAAGCCCATAAATAGGCATAACAATGCGTTTTTGTTTTTATCCTGGAAGGGCTACCGAGGAACAGTAACAGGAAGGAGATTTTGGGAAATGAGAGTGGTAACTTACCTAGAATCGAATTTTTTGCCATCAGTCAATGTGCCGGTATAGTGCATGGTGAGCTGTAACAAAAAAATAAAGTGGAAAGTGATGAATAACATAAATAGAAAAAGAGTCAAGAGAAAATCAGTAAAAAAGGAAAATGGTGAAATTTTGATTCAGGAATTATATTTTGAGGACCATAGTGGTCTCTAGCTATAAAGACTTGTTGAACGTTCTTACATTTATAGAATGCCTGTCTAAAAGCCTTTGTCCATCAAACACCTTAAGAAAGCCTTTTTCCCCTTCCAAGGCAAGGCTATGAGAACTGTTAAGTTTTACTTCCATGAGTTTTATTTAAAAAAGTTATGCCAGTCCCGTTTGAAGATACGATTTTTATACCCTCAGTCATATGGCTAGAGTGCCTAATCGAAATAACGGTTTTAGACCCTAGGTCTCTTTGGACCAAATCCGTTTCAAGACATTTCGAGTCGATCTAGCGATGTCCGTCCGTCTGGCTGGCTGGTGCGGACTATAACTCTCGAAGGGTGTATCCGATTTGGCCTAAACTTGGTACACCTTGTTTTTCAAATGTTCGCAATTTGGGTTCCCATTAGATGCAAATTCGTCCTACGAACTTTTTATAACGGCCCACTTTTGATTTTAACCCCTTTTATGGGATTATGGCCTTAGTGGCATTTTCACAAAACTGAGGATACAAAAGGTCTGTTCCACAAAATTCACTAAATAATTTTCATTTCCATTTATACCCTACAACACTATGTTTTGGGGGTATTATAAGTTTGATTGGGCCAAAAATTATGTAACACCTCGAAATATTGATTTCCCACATAGGAAAGTACATATACTCATCTCGCCGAGAGGAGTCGATCTAGCTATGTATGTCCGTCCGTACGTCTGTCCGTCTGTCCATGTTAATTTGCAATCAAGCTACAGGTCGCAATTATGAACCGATTCTCACAAAATTGAAAATGGAGGTGTGGTTATGGTCAGAATAGAACCCTATTGTCCATCGGACAATAATTAGCGGGTAAAATAGAGCCTAACTTTTATGTAAGAAAATAGGAAAATGTCCACTAAACCGCGAATATTTCCAATCCCAGCCAAATCACAAATACATTAAAAGATCACTTCTGTTCGTTAGGGTGATGCTAATCGCCAAGACATCGGATATATAGCAAAATAGGTACAATATATATGTAAAAGAATAGATCTTATTTATTCTGCAATTTTCACAATTCCCATCAATTCGGAATGGTCTCTTGCTCTTGGAAAACTATAGCAATAAAAAAGTTAATATATTTTGTTCCAGTTTTTCAATGTTTGTCATATTTTTTATCGCATGCGATTTTTTCAATTCGACTTCCAATTTTGAATTGTAAATTTTTTAAATTTTCAAAAACGAAAACTTCCAAATGGGTTTGGACTCCGAACATCTTGTAGTGTTGTAGGGTCTGCCCCGCACGATTATAGCCATTGCTTACTTGTTTTTTTAATAAACCAACACTTACCGTATCACCAGCTTTGGACTTTTGTTCGCAAACTTCGGGTACACTGACCACATCAACTTTAAGATCCTCGCTGCGTACGGCAGCCACTAAAAGGCACGAGACAATAAGTACGGATTTGAACATGGCTGCAATGAAACAAAGAGAAGAAGAAGAAAAAAAATTATAAATAAAAATATTCAAATTCAAATAGCGAAACAACAACTGGTTTCTGTTTTTTTTTTCTTTGTGTTTCATAATCATGACTTTGGCAAACAATCATAACCACGTCATCTTAGGGCCTGACACGACAAGGTTAACTAAAAACCACTTCGCTCAGATTGGAGGAGCAAGAAAAAAAGACTACATGGCATGGTAAATGCTGCCACAAAATGTTGCATCATAACCATGAAAATCCATGAAAACAAACAAATCTTTGCCGATGATGCAGCAGATTTCATCAGCAGCAATAGCAGCAGTAGCAGAGGAGGACGCAACCAGTTTAAATGCATCCGCAACGCATTTCAAAGCAATATGCAGCTGGAAAAATGAATGAAACCCCCTCTGCCAACCACTCATCTGCTATGCCAAACACAAAGGCCAAATCACATAAACATAAACTTGGCTGGCTCATCTCTTCCTCCTTTGCTGCCTATCGCCCTCCCCCTCTCTCTCTGCTACTATGGCTTTGGCGATTTGGTTTGAATGGCTGATTTTTGCATTAAAGCCATTTATTGTAAATCATGAGGTTTGTGTTGTTGTCCATTTGTCCGCATTATAATTGTTATGCAATTGTTTTTTTTTCTGGCGTCCGAATGCGTCCAAAGTCTCTTCGAAAAAAAACAGCACACATCGCTTGACTGTGCATGGATGAGAGGTGAGCCGAACAAGTGCCACCCTTGCACCTTAAAATTTATTGATTTCACTTTTAAACGTGTTTCGGCGACGAACACGACGACGACTTTTTTCAATTTTTTGCAAGAAAAAATAAAAAAGAGATAATAATACTGAAATTGCATAAACAATGTCTTGTAATTTTTCGGTGATCATGTAATATCGGCACAATGGGTTGTGATGTGCAAAAATTGTGGCAAAAAATAATAGATAAATAGTTTCATTGATACAACTATTATTATAGTAACTGCGTTATTATTTTCAGGCAATAATGTAATTATTACTGAACAGTATTTGAAAAAAGTGAATTGAAAATTATTTCAAAAGCCCATACAAATATTAAATGGACTTCTTTGTGGGTAATTTCAACCATAAATTAGGAGAATTGTCCATCATTGTACAATATATTTGATATATATTAAATTTGACACTGAAGATGATATGGATAAACAGAACAGAAAATTTAGTTCATCTCGTCTATGAATTCTTCTAAATTAAGAGGGTATAAGACGGTATAACCACATATAATTCCCTATGATTTCTATAGTTCTGAGGTGTGAAAGACACGAATGAATCTATATTATTCTTCTTAGCACCTGATTAAAACTTAACCCACACATTAAGAACATCAAAATTTGGACGAAACGAGTGAGAAATGTAAATAAGCGACTTGATCGAAACCCGCGTCTTGGCTCGGAGTAAAACCATTCGGGGTAAAGCCATTTAAAATAGACTCAAAGGAGCTAAAGAGTTGCTTCGCTTGACCGAAAGTGGTGAACTGCCGAATTTGGTTTTCTCCGATGAGAAAATATTCGTTGTCCAGCAGTTTGTAAACAAACAAAATGACCGTGTTTACTTGCCAAAGAGATCAGCTGAAAATGTGCACCTTCGGTTGGCCACCAGAACTCAAGCGCCGGCCATGGTGATGGTGTGGGCCGCCATAACAGCCGATGGTCGCTCTCCGCTCGTATTAAACGACCGTGGCATCAGAATAAATGCCGAATATTATCGGGAAAATATTCGGGAGAGTGTATTAAAGCCTTGGGTACGGAAACATTTTGACCGCAGACCTTGGACTTTCCAACAGGACTCAGCACGAGCCACCCAAGCATGGTTACAAAACGAGGTTCCAGGCCATAATTCGTGCAAAAGGTGACCAATTCGTACAAATCTAAACTTATTCTAAAATTGAATGCTATTTCCGACATTTTTTGCTTTCATTCAATAAAATTACTGTATACCCACTCTATTCATATTGCTGAGGGTATAAAAAGCGTGTGTTTTATTCCTTGCATAATGTAAAAGTTTTATGAGGGAGGTATATAAAGAGGTTGATCGATATAACATCGGACAGGTACTGCAATGAGTGGACTGATGTTTTTTTCTGTCGGGTGCGATATTCGAAAATATCGGTCTACTCTCATTACTATTCATTATCATCATTAAATTGAATAATCATACCATACGTAATCGGACCATACGTCGGGGAGTACAAAAAGAGGTGGACAATCTTATCTACTTTCGTACCTGACCTAGTCCTAGTTGGCTGGGGACAAAAAAGGGACAGATATTTCCCACCCTCCAAGTCAAGCGACGATGTTGAACTTGGAGAACAAAACGGATACTTCCTTCGAGAATTATTAAGCGAATCAACCAGTCAGGCAAGGGTATAACTAAAAACGGATTAAAAACTGTTTGGTTGTTTGACTCGAACTTTAAGTTAGAATTTTGATTGTTACAACCCGCCTTGCTAGAACACACGCTTAATTAATCGATCGAGTAGAGGAATTCTTCGAGGGTTTATGTCAGTTTTCGTTGATTGTTTTGTTCTCAACTTAACAATAAATAATAATCTAATATTTTGGGATGCGAATTACATTTAGTAACTCTTTTTTCAAAGAAATCCCTCCGGGTTGATTCAATCAGTTGTTTTTATGGAATAAATAAAATTAATTTATTTCATATTTTACTCAACGTTTCGTTAGTCTATTTGCAACTTCTTCTGGATTTTTTATTAGAAAATTCTAGCGACAAAATTTTAAATAATCGTGAGATTTTTTATATTAGTAATATTAATATTAATTTTTCGTTACAACTTTAGAAAGATACCCCTTACATAAGTGGAAGGTACCACTCACTCTGATATCTTATGGCCCGTCCATGATGTTACAATAAATGAATGTTAAATGCCCTCCATTTGAAATTGTTACATTTGTTTTATTAATTCATCCATCTACTTAAACATCTTGCTCCCCAGGAAGATAAAAAAGAGAAACTTTAAAACTACCCATTTATATAATACCGTTCGATCTAAATACAACTATTGTGGAAAAAAAATTAGGACAGTTTCCAAAAAAGTACACCGATTGGGCGAAAAATAGAAAGTGTCTTAAATAACATGTTTCGGTTGTAAATCGCACTCATATGGTCATGAAGAAGATGTTGTTGCTGTTGCTGCTGCTGGTGATGATGACGATGATGATGATGACATTATTCACGACACTAAATGATCATGACGCTACATGTGTAGCAATGCTGATGTTGATTATTATTGTGGAAGAGCCACAGCAGCATTAATGGCGATGACCAACTATTTCACTTTTGTTTGATTTTGGCTTTTGAGGGCATAATTATTCAATTGGCCCAAAAAAGGTAATGCATGACACCACGCCACGCCACATCACAACGCATGACGACGATTCGTTCATCTCTTTTTTTTGGAGAAACCACAGTTGTTACATTTCTTGGAGTTTGTGGGGTAATGCCATTGTTGTAGCACTCTGACTTCATTTCCGTTGGTTTTGTGTGGTATACCTATTTACCCAAAATTTACCTCTATTAATTACAAACGTTTCAATTTCTCTTTCTATTTTTGAAGCGATTTTTTAGATGTATTTCAACGATTTAAACGATTGCTTAAGCAATGCTTCACGAGAAGACTTAACGCTTTCCTTAAAAAATAAAACAAAAAAATAATAAATTATATTTCATTTACAGCATTGCGTACAATAGCTAATTTTTTCGTTCCCATTTCGCCCTCATCTGGCCAACCTTGTCATAACTCCACCACTAGATGGGTGGTGTTGATAACACCTTCACTCCCTCCACGCCGGGCTTTGTTCGCCAGCGCTCTAATGATTTATAACTTCTTCATCTTAATGAAGAGTTTAGAGTTTCATAAGTGAAAATCCACCTTCATCATGGAAAAGCGTAACATTATTGTCTAATTGGCCCTCTACATGTGGAGCTGAGCTGTTGAGCTCTGCTCAAAAATGATGCGTTTAGTTTTTCAACCGTGACCCGTGTGTGTGTAACAAAAATAATCTGTTGAATGGTGTTTTGAGAAAATTTAAGGGGTATTAGTTCAAAATGGAACGAAAATTATGTATGTGGTATATTTCAAAGCAATTCAAACCAAATTACTGGTGAAAGATTTGGGAAATGGCTCACATTAAGTTTTAGATTATAACTCATAGAGGGATGATTATGATTTCTTTCATTTTGCTATAACTTTACATTGGTTTCGTACCACACCACTTTAAGTAGTCGTAAAAAAAGTATGACAGCCCTTAAAAAAATTCAACGTGACAATCGTGACAATCTAAAAAAACCTACAAATCGACGATCATGGGTCTAACAATGTGGTTTGAAAAAAACTTTGAAAAAGTCCACCATCAGTCCTCCACGAAAATAGGTGAAACAATTCTCCAAATTATTATTAAAAACTCAACAACTATAGACCTTTTTAAAAAAATATGACAAAAAAAATATTTTGACTGAATATAGGGAGTTAGCGTTATATTGGGGTCTACACGAAGACGTGGAAATGCAAAGGCAGTTTTTCTGTCACAGGCTGTAGTACCCATTACGAATTTCAAATACGAAATTTGGTGCCGCTAAAATCATACAAATGCAGAGTTTAGAAAAGTACCGTTATATGGTGGCTATACGAAAACGTGGATCTATATAGCCAATTTTCAAGACCAAAAGTCCTGCAGAACAAACACACATATGAGTAAACTTTTATAAGCCTACTTCAATTCGTTCAATTCCGAAGCTAGAGTGATTTCCACGGTCATCGTTAAGTCGACATAGAATTTTATGCTGATCAAGAGTTCTTTGCGGGGTCCAAAATGTATATTTCGAGTTGTTACAAACGGATTAAGAAAATAAATATAAAACCTCCATATTATGGTGGGGGTATTAAAGTATTATTAAATATTTTCAAAAGGAGTATCCGATCTGTCCTCAAAAAAAAATGCCTAAATTCACGTTTATAGGTCTGACAGTCCCCAAAAAATATTAGAAATGCAACGATTACAGTCTCTTAAAAGAGAGACCTCTCCAAAATTACGATAATAGATCTGTTAATAATAAATCAAGGATTTTAGGTAGGACTCCTCTTCAAAATTGAGCTCAGAAAATACTTTTGCGCTCAAAAAAATTCGATTATCGCTCCTCGACCAACAATTTTGATAAGTCTCCCTTCTGCAACTTTAACTATCGGAAAATACTCGGATATACGAATAATTGACCAGAATATTTTGGGTGCATGGACATACCTATAGAAAAAAAATATACATACCTAAGACAAAAAATAGAGTTATATCTCCATTATCGGAAAACATCAATTTTTGTAAAACCCCGAAATTGTAAAAAATGGACTCATTATGGCGGATTTTTTGGATTCAGACATATTATCCGTGTCAGCGTTATTATACCCTTAGCCAAGTGGCTAGTTATACCCTCAGCGATATGGCTAAAGAGATCATTTGATACGGCCAAAACGTGCCTCATCGAAAAAACGGTTTGACCCTAGGTCTCTTTGGACCAAATTCGTTTCAGGGCATTTCGAGTCGATCTAGCAATGTCCATCCGTCCGTCCGTCTGGCTGGCTTTCAAGGAGAGTATTCGATTTGGTCCAAACTTGGTACATTGGAATATTCTTATCAAACTCAGATCGAGTTCGGAGATGGGCAATATCAATCAACTCCTTCTGATAACTCACCCACAAAAGGCCGACATTAAAAAAAAATACTGCCCAGGGAGAGAAAGGATAATACACTTTTGCTCCAACTTTGCAAATCTTGGTATTTGCATCAGTGCTAGGTTAGGTGCGAAAATGGACAATATCGGTCCACTCCATCAAATACCTCCCCCACAAAGGGTCGACATTTTGAATAATTATAATTCTTATAAAATGTGATGTAAAAGTCCGATTGTCTTTAAATTACGCACATCACAATATTTTTATTAACCCAAGGTCTGGTGTGAAGATGAAATATATCGGTCCACACCTTCTGGTACATCAACCACAAAGGTTCAAAAATTTTAATAACAATGAAGCTCATAAAACGTGAAATTACCTTCCGATTCCATTCAGATTTGGCACATCTCAATATTTCCATCAACACAAGATATGTTATTTAGTGGTAGAGATCGGACCACAAATGGTCAAAGTTTTAAATAACCGAAACGTTTATAAAAACCGAAATACGCATCACGTCCTCTTTAAATTTCACACATGCTATAATTTTTACTAACACAAGATCTGCTATGAAAATGGAACATATCGGAGCACTCCTTCTGGTACTTCCCTACAATATAAGACTTAGGTTTTTTAAATTATTTGGTCTGTTCCACAACTGCAAGAATTTGAAAAATGTTACTGCGATAATTCCCTTTTAAATCGGAAAAATCCAAAAATTGTAGATTCTTGTAGGTTCTGGATCGGATTATAATTGTATATTTACAATATATATTCATAGTTGGATAACGTCTTTCAGTTACCCTTTTATTCCCTTCCAGAGATTTAAAACCCGACTCAGGAGACTAAGTGGAGTCTCCTTAATACCATTTTGCGGAAATAATTGCATCTCAAAACATTGACAAGGAAATTAAAATTGTATCACCATTAATGTGCCTTTGCCGTAGTAGTTCATTGTCAGGTTCAAATGGAAGAAAGTTGTTCAAGCCAAACACCCAACCGAAATGGAAGCACACAATGAAATTACAACAAAGTTTGGGCTGACAAAATGCCACTAATCCAGTTTACCTGGATGATAAAAGAAACTGGTTTCGACAACAAAAACGGCATCCCGCATCTCTGGTAAACTAAAATTGGTATTTACAAATGCCGGTTGTTTTTGTTGGATAACTCGATAACTCTGAAAATGTGTGAATGAACGGCGAATGATCGTTGCGGTGTTGTCATCTACATAGCCACTAAACTTCGTCCAAATAGGAGAAGGAGTAGTAAAGTACGGTGAAAACAGTTATGGAATGTGGACAGAGTAGTTCGTACAAACACACATGATGGGCCCCAACCACTTCTCCCCACATTATAAAATGTGTTAAAATGCGTAAGGTTCGAGTTCAATAACCCAAAGAAAAAATATTGTTTGGTTTTAGGCGTTTATGTCGGCATTTCATCCACATATAGAGAAAAACACTAACAAAAAATCTCACCATACAATCATTGCCTCCACCCCCAATTAGTGTTTTGCTGATCAAACATGAATGATGAGCAAAGAAAAGTCAACAAAAAGAATGGTGTTGTTTTTCGGGTAGATTTTGATTTTTTACCGGATTGAAATAATTTTCTTTATTCCTTTTCGTGCCATTCTAACCCATTTTTATTAACATATTCTCAACACAACACTCACGATCAATCAGTATTCTCTCTTGGATATTCTTCAATTGTCATTTGGAGAGTGGATTACCCTCTCTCGTTGACCCCTTTCCCCAAAAAATAATGTAAATTCTGATTTGATTGACAAATATGCTGCTGCACGATGTACAAAGAACGAGTTTTGTGACGTCAGTGGTATAACGAACTGGTAGAAATTTAATTGTCACATTTCCAAAAGTTCTTTTCATTTTGGAATTTGGAATCGATTTCATTTTGCCGAAATTAATTTTGTTTTCTTTTTCTGATTCTCTTCGTGGCAATGAATGAATAATGCACAATTTTCTTTCACAAAACATGGCTTCATAAACTTTCCATACACATTTTAACTTTAATTAAGCATAACAATTTTTTTTTGATTTTTTTAAATGTTTTCTAGTAGTTTAACTTTTTTAAAAGTTTGCTTAAATTACCTTTTTTTAATTTAATAAACCTTTCTCTATGAGGAATGTAAAAAATATCAACTTTTGTACACACAACCAACACTGATCACCACCACGACTGGATGCCAATTCCCCCAATGTACCCCAATTTTATACAAAAACTACTTCAAAACATGGCACTCTCAGTTAAATTCCAACAACAAAAATTAAAACTCTCAGTTAAATCCCAAAAACAAAAAATTTCCTCGCAGGTACGAAGAGTTTTTCCGGACATTATCTTCTTTACGAAACCATATATTTTCAATATTGGCATTGTAATATATTTAAAAGTGGCAAAAGCAGCATTTTGCATTAAAACTTTTTGTAAATTCTGTGAGGAAAATTAATTAGTATTTAAAAAATAAAAATGTCTTACAAATTCCATCTTGAGCGTTCAATTTAATCAAAATTATTATATGACTATCCCTTTTCCTCTAATGGCAATTTCCATTTAAAAATACAGAAATGGAAGTGAGTAAACTTCAACTGAGAGCTGCTCTCTAATGAAAAAAATACTCTCCGTAAACGATCAGCAACGCAATCGATCGACGTCGGCAGCGACAGACAATGTGATAAAACAAATAATGAAAATAGTACAAACAAAACAACAACATAAACACATGTCCACGTAATCATTCGTGTTGAGAGTAGCGTTGCCAATACGGTGCAATTTTTGACAAACGGGGAAAAATTGTGCTAAGGAAAGCAAGTTATTTAGTTTGAATAGTTGAGTTGGATTTTAATCAATGAAATTACAATAAAAAAAATCGATTCCGATTCACTTTCCAATTGGAAAGTGATGTAAACAAACTATTTTCTCCGTTACCAGTATGTTGAAAATAATAAGCTGTTCTATGGTAGAATTAAGAAAGTAAATTCATGATTTCCAATTTTTTTGTCGATTTTTTTCTGGGATATGCTCTTGAAAAAGTTATGGGTATGTCGATGAAAACTTCAATACTCTTCACCATTAGAAAAAAACAATTTTTAAATAAAAGTATCTATATTCAATCGTGTTTCACTTTAACAGCAAAGTTTTCGAAATACAATAAAATGGTGAGATAAAAAAACTGCAACAAAGTCAAACGCCATAATTTTTACATTTTTTTTTAAATTTTATTGAATGAAAGCCAAAATGTCGGAAATAGCATCAAATGTTAGAATAAGTTTAGATCGTTTCGAATTGGTCACCTTTGACATGAATTGTGGCCTTCAAACGGCCAATGAAACCGTCACACGCTGCCCGAATATTGCTCTGCGGTATTTTGGGCCATTCCCGGCGAAGCGCTTACTTGGTGATCTACACTTTGGTATTTTTTAGTGCCAACCTTGTTTTTCCAAAATACTCCAGACACATTAGTCCAACGGATTGGTAACCGGGGAAAAGGCCAAAATGTTTGCGTGCCCAAGGTTTTAATAAACCCTCCAGAATATTTTCGCTATAATATTCGGCATTTATTCTGATGCCACGTTTAAACAGCTGTCGGACGAGTGACTTAGAAATGACAGCATCTGAATATGGTTGCAGTTTTTTCATCTCACCCTGTATATATCGTATTTGGTGTACGACGAATATTTAGAAATGTTACAATCAGAATGAGAAATTTGATATACTCAACTTCCCAGGACTTCAATCGGTAATAAAGCTGGGCATCATATCGTCGGCCCGTTTTCAGTCATTTGCATTAACAAATAACAACTTGTAAAAAAATGGCCTACATATAGGATCGAATAATGAATTATAATATTTGTACATATGTATGTGTGTGTTTACGCTTTTATACGAGTTTATTTATAACTAAAAAATTACAATAACGGTATGGCTTAAAAAAGCTCATAGTTGTTATTTAAATATTTCTCTTTATAAGTAGTATATACATATTTATGTTAATATACCCCTAAATATGTTTAATAAGATGTCATATAATCTTAGCCATCAACATTTCCCTCAAAACTCACATAAAACATTAATAAATTGTAAACAAGTTAACTATTTGGTGTGGTCGATCGTTTTTATAAAAGCTTTTTTTGTGGTTAGCTTTCGTGTATTTTTAGATAAGTATTTAAATTTTCTAGCCATATTATTTTCAAAACAAATTCAACCTTTGTTTTTTATATGAGCTGTGTTCCAGTACAATTTTAATGGTAGAACTTATAGAAAAAACATCAGATGAACACCCTCAGCCAATGTTCGATAATTTACTTATATTTAGACTTCTGTTATGATTATTCAAATTGTTGAACCTCTATGGAGTAGGTTTCGAAGGAATGGGCCAATATTGCCCATTTCGTATCGGACCTAAAGAAATATGATTTAAATATTGCAACGTGATAGGTTTGGATATTTGATATTGGTTACTTCTTTCACTTTACATGATATGTCCCTTTGTGGGACAGGTACCAAAAGAAATGGTCCGACCTCTACCATCTTTATAACAGCTCTTCTGTTGATGGAAGTATTGAGATGTGCCAAGTCTGAATGGAATTGGATGTTAATATCGTGTTTGATGAGCTTCATGAATATTCAAAATGTTGACCCTTTGGGCGGGAGGTACCAGAAGGAGTAGACCATCACACCAGACGTTGGGTTAATAAAAATATTCTTATGTGTGTAATTTGAAGACAGTCGGACACTTACATCGCATTTTATAAGAGTAGTAATTATTCAAAAATTTCACCCTTTGGAGTGGACCGATATTGTCCATTTTCGCATCTGACCTAGCACTGCAGTAAATTATTTTCTTTGAAAATGTTGACATTTTGGTGGGGGTGGTACATGAAGGAGTGGATCGATATTGCCCACCTCCGAACTCAATCTGAATTTGACAATAATATTACAATGTACCAAATTTGGATCAAATCGGATACTCCCTTCGAGAGTTATCGTACGCACCATACAGCCGGGCAGATAGACGAACGAACATTGCTAGATCGACTCCAAATGTCCTGAAACGGATTTGATCCAAAGGGACCTATGCTCTAAGGCAAGTTTTGGCCGTATCAAATGATTTATATCCTCTCTAGCCATATGGTTGAGGATATTACAAGTAGAAAATCAGCTAAGTTTTTTTTTGCAATATGCTGTAGAACATTTTACGAACTTTAAATATGAAAATTGAAATAATTCCGCTAAATAATGTCGCTAAAATCATGAAATGCCGAATATGGGGAGGTATCGTTATATGGGGGCTATACATAAATGTGGACCGACATGACCCATTTTTGTGACTGAATTTTGCATTCGAATTCGAGTGAATATTTTTTCTGTAACCCATTGCTATGAAAAATGCTTATATTTCCTTTCGACTGGTCGATTCTTGTCATTATTGGAGTATAAAGGGGGGATAGACAATTACGGGAACCCAAAATAGTTTTCTTTCAAATTTAAAACGAACGAAGCCTTTCGATTACCTTATAGAAACAGGACATAAGTCTCTTCTACTCAATATATATTTTTTATTAAAAAATAAATATGTTTTCAAAATGTATTATTTGCCTCCCTCCACAATTTATTTTTCCAATATGATTATTTCTGTCAACACACAATACTTTTTAGTTTAATAAAAATATATAAAACAATTAAAGTTTTAATTACTCACTTTGTGTAAATTACTACAAAAAAATCACTTGGGAATATTCCAGAGTCTCTAATTTTGAAATTACTACTTAATGATATGTTTGAGTTTATTATCACAATTTTTTGTTTGTTTGAGAATTTCCCGTATACAACCTTTCTCTAGCGAACGTGCAATATAAACTGCAGCATACTTTGTGGCTAAGGCCATGGAAAAGCTTTCAGTGCCTACTTGTGGGGATATGGTTAACAATCATTTGACTATGTTTAGCAACAATGTTGCAGCTGAGTTATAGCTCCGCCCAAATTTTTGGCGGCATGCGTCCTAGAGTTTTGCCTATTTAAGCCAATCACATTTTTGTTTGATTAATTTTATTCTTCTGGGGTAAAATAAAGGAAATTCCTTAAGATGACATGAAAAATATTTTCAAAATAAACTAATATTGGTTTTAAATTGATTTAAAATTCTTCGAATTTCACAAATTTCAATTTTATAAAAATATCAGGTCAAATAATAGCTGAAGCCAAAATTTTGGTTTTTAAAGAAAACTGTTCATCTAAATAACTATTGTTTTGAAATTCTAACAAATAATTTAAGATAGGCTACGATTATACGATACAACATTTGTCAGATACTTGGAATATTCAATGTATTATCCAAATCATTTTCATCTTCTACCGAAATATGGTACATATTTTTTATGATTCTGTATCATATTTGTTTTTATTTTTTCTTGTGATGTGAGATTCAAAAGTGTGAGATTCGAAAATTATTTTAAATTTAGACAAATATGGAAAAATGTTGACCCAATGACCCCATATGGCCAAACTGAAGTTGGCCAACTAGATTATATTTTTAAATATAGGATTGATGAACATATACACTATACAGGGTGAGATAAGAAACCTGCAACAAAGTCAAATGCCATAATTTTGATATATTTTTTTAAATTTTATTGAATTAAAGCAAAAAATGCCGGAAATAGCATCAAATTTTAGAACAAGTTTAGATTTGTTCGAATTGGTCACCTTTGGCACGAATTATGGCCTTCAAACGGCCAATGAAACTGTCAAACGCCGCCTAGACACAATAGTCCAAGGGATTGGTATCCGGAGATTTTTGTGGCCATTATGCGCTTCATATGAAGCAAGGAACCTCATTTTGTAACCATTCTTGGGTGGCGCATGCTAAGTGCGATGGTGCTGAGTCCTGTTCGAATGTCCAAGGTCTGCGGCTAAAATGTTTGAGTGCCCAAGGCACCCTCCAGAATATTTTTGCGATAGGTATTAGAAGAAATTGTCCGATCTATACCATCTTTATAACAGACCTTGTGTTGATGGAAATATTGAGATATACCAAGTCTTAATGGAATCGGACGTTATTTTTTGTGTTTTATGCGCTTCATGAATATTCAAAATTTTGACCTCCCCTTTGTGGGGGAGGTACCAGAAGGAGTGGATCGAAATATCCCATCTTCACACCAGACCTTGGGTTAATAAAAATATTGTGATGTGTGTAATTTCAAGATAACCAGAAGTTTATTTTGGATTTTATGATCGTTTTGGTTATTCAAAAC